CCAAATCAATTATCTCAGTGCTCTCCATTGGATTCTGGCTCACGAGTGAAATGAAGACCGGGAGCGTTTTCTCGGTTCTAAGGACACTGCTTTGGCAATGTATGGGGCGCTCGAGGATCTTGCTTTTGAACGGCTTTTCAAGGTTTTCGAAGTCCACCTCGATATCTCGCTGCCATTCTGCCATGAGTAGATTGTAATTGGCGCCATGTACCACCTCAGGATTTCTAAGCGACGGCCGGGCTGGCCCTACTTGAAAGTGGAAGCTGGACAAATCGACGTTCAAGCCACATCCCACAAATTTCGTGAACGCCTCTTTCAATGTCCATAGTTGGTTAAAAAACACGTACCGCTGAGAAACGTCCTCGATCGCCCCGAGCTGCCTCAACTCTACCGGAGCGAAAATCCCGGCGAACTGCTCAACAAACTCGGTCTCGGAAATGCTGCTTTGCGTCTCATGCGAGAGGTCAACCCCAACTGGAGTCGACCCATTGAACTCGCACAACGATAGCCATGATGTCGTTGGAGCTAGACGAATTGTACTCGATGCACAGGCCGTTCTTCACATCCAATCTTGGTTTGCCGTACTCGTTCACGCCAAGGGGCAAGTCTTCAAAGGGCCGAAAAACATCGGCACTACCCCCAGAATACAACGCGTAGTTGAGAACCACCTGAGCGAATAACCCTAGCAAGAGGGCCTTGACCGGATCGTGTCTGGCATTGCGAATCTTGAGTTGTTGTTCTAAAGACAATTTACGGAGACAGAGTTCGAAATTGAAGTCGTCACTAAGAAGCTCTCGGAGCCTCTTGCTGGCCAGCGATGCGGTGAAGACCACAAAAGTCGCGCCTTCTTCTGTGATAGCGAGCCGCGGCCAGTTTCCTACCATGATGGAGTTCGACACTGTAGTGTCTTTTTTTTCGTCACACGGTCAGTGTCAAGTTTGGCATGCGCAGTAGTCGTAGATGCCCCCAGACTTCAACAATACGTGCTCGAGACTGGTATTTTGTGAAAAACACACACACACACACACACACAAGTGTCAACAAAAAAAATCAGAGACAAACAAAGCCGAGAAGCAAACTGCTTTTTTCAAAAGATAGAAAAAGGTCTCCCAAGAGGCTGCTTCTGAGGTTAGCGGGAAATACCGAAATTGATCTCGCGGGGAACCCGAAATTGATCTCGCCTACCTGCAAAGTGACTATAATTAATTGTTTTATGGTCTAGTCTTATGCGCGTGTTGGTGGATGGACAGCCTACTCTTCTTTCCCATAAACATTGTAGAGCTTCAAGGATGCCTTCGCATCATACGGGTTCTTTCTTGCTTCCTCGAGTGTATCCGTGAGTGCCCTTTTCAAGTTCGCGAGGCCCTCTTCCGAAACCTGATGATGGATCGTCAATCTGCTCCCGTAAGCCTTGACGTTGTATTTAGCACACGCCTGTGTGAAGAAGTCATTATTGATTTTGCTGGCGGCAATGTCGATAAACACAAAATTCGTGTGCACGGGGTGCTCAAGGACAGCACCAAGACTTTCGCAAAACTCGCCGAGTTCCTTCGCCACATCGTGTGTTTTCTTCAATTTGGGAAAATTTTCGTCAATAGCAACTATGGCCATCAGCGCAAGCAAGCCTGCTTGTCTGATACCACCGCCGTTCTGTTTCCGGAAGTGATTGGCCTTGGACACAAATTTTTTAGTTCCCACCAAGACTGACCCCACAGGAGCGCCAAGGGTCTTCGATAAACAAAGAGAGACCGAGTCAAAGTATGAGCAGTACTCGGCAATGGAGATTCCAGTGGCAGCAGACGCATTCCACAAGCGGGCCCCGTCCAAGTGAAGGCGCACGTTGTTATCTTTGCAAAATGCGGAGATTTTCTTGATTTCGTCGAGCGGGAACAACATGCCATGCAATGTGTTTTCTAAACTAATCACTTTCGTGGGACAGCCGTGGATCTCGCCGTCGTCGGGGACATAGTTGGGGAGAATGTCGTCCTCGAGAGTCAAGTACACTCCGTTCTTGGGCACGATAGAATGCACCATGGCTTGCGACAACGTAGGAAGTCCGCCAGCTTCGTGCACGTAGACGTGGGCACGGTGGTCGCAGAGCACGGCATGGGGCGGCTGCAATAAGTGTGTTCTAAGCCCGATCTGGTTCAGCAACGTGCCAGAAACACAGAAAAGACCGACTTCTTTCCCCGCGAGCTCCGCCACCTTCATTTCCAATTCCCGAGTGGTGCTGTCTTCATTGTAGACAGAGTCGCCAAGCGTCGTTGTGGCCAAAGCGGACACCATAGACGCAGTGGGGGTGGTGAACGTATCGCTTCTGAACTCGTTGGCTGCAGGAGACTCTGTAAATACAGAGAGGTCGAGCGACATTTTGGCGAAGAATCAGTATGGGTCCTCTTTTTGCTTTTGGGCTGGGAGGCTGTTTTTGCTGGACAACTGAGCGGAATGAGTGTTTCGCGATGAAGATGGGGCTGGCTGACTACCAGTTGATCTGACGGAATTTCGACGAGTTCGCGAAATCGCCGACGAGCGCTCAAATCAGATAGTGGGGCTCACCCCACGATTCTTCTAAAAAAGCCTTGGTACTTTGGTATCCATAGTTTCTTGAGCTGAGCCGCTGCGATTTCTTTAAATTCTCATTTGTGATTTGTTTGTGGGGTCTGACCCAGCACTTCTATTATTTGGGATATTCTTGGATGGTCACCCCCGCATCGCGGAAAAAGAGCCGGAACAGAATCCATAGATTAGCCGCTGTTTGCCGACCAAAGTTATACCCCTCTTTCGTGGAAACAATAGTCTGACACCAAATACCCCGATTCATTACCAATAATAGAAATAGTGCATAAAGCTTAAGCAATTGATCAGCACAGGGCCTGCAAAGTCACGACTGTCAAAATACTAGCGGGCGATAAGCCCCATGTGCGTGGGGTGGATATTATGACAAGCCAGGCTGCAAAATCCAGCATTCACAAACCCACAGACACTCATTCTGCAAGATTAAACAGAGCTTGAACAAAAGATTTGCCTCCCTGACCAATCAGCGCAATTTGAGAAACTTGAGGATTCTCGAGCTAACCCAACACAAGTCGAGGTGTTTGTATCTAAACGTATCCTCAATTAGGGGCGAAATCGCGTGAAGGCAAATAGCCGCCACGGGGCGGCTCGAAAAGATCCGCCATGTACCGCTACCACCTTCCGAATTCGGACACCACACCCAGATCGCGCGCGCCATGAACTGTGATGTGCCTGGGGTTCAAATAGCTGGAGAAACCCTGGAGAACAGACTTAGAAGTAGGCAATTGTCTATTTTTTTTGTACAAATATTTCAAACTCTTAAGCCTCCACTTTCATGTCCCTCCCATTGGAATACCAAGTCACTTTGCCCAACGGCAGAACCTTCACGCAGCCTGCTGGTTTGTTCGTTAACAATGAATTTGTCAAGTCGAAATCAGGTAAAACCATTGAGTCGATCAACCCATCCACTGGGGAAGTGAACGGTTCTGTGTACGCAGCAGACGAAGAAGACGTGGATGAAATTGTGGCTGTTGCTCGCAAAGCCTTCAAATCGTGGAAAAAGACGTCTGGTGTTGAGAGGGCTGATCTCTTGTTCAAATTGGTGGACATCATGAAGCAAGAGCTAGAGCTTCTCACAGACATTGAGGCCTGGGACTCCGGCAAAACTAGGCATCTCAATGCTTTGTATGATGTGGAAGAAGTCATCGCCGTGTTCAAATATTATGCGGGATGGGCCGACAAGGTGCATGGCAGAGTCATTGCACAGAATCCCAAGAAATTGGCATACACTTTGCATGAGCCTTATGGCGTATGTGCCCAGATCATTCCTTGGAACTACCCATTGCTCATGGCCGCATGGAAGTTGGCTCCCGCATTGGCCGCTGGTAATGTGGTTATTTTGAAGTCCTCCGAGGTCACGCCTTTGTCGATTTTGTACTTTGCAACGTTGTTCAAGAAAGCAGGCTTTCCCCCAGGCGTCGTCAACATCATCTCGGGGCTCGGTACCACGGCCGGCAAGGCCTTGGCCTCCCATTTAGACGTGAACAAGGTGGCGTTTACGGGCTCCACAGCCACAGGCCGTGTGGTGCAGAAACTTGCCACGGCAAATTTGAAAGCCGTCACTTTGGAGTGTGGAGGCAAATCGCCTCTTTTAGTAAGAGCCGACGCGGATCTCGAGCAGGCTGTGAAGTGGGCTGCCATCGGCATCATGAGCAACCAGGGCCAGATTTGTACGTCCACCTCAAGAATCTATGTACACGAGTCGATCTACGAAAAATTCTTGACAGAATTTTCCAAACATGTGACGGATGAGTACAAGCAGGGTGACATGTTCGTGGAGGATGCTGTTGTGGGGCCTCAGGTCTCGAAGGGCCACTTCGAAAAGATCTTGAGCTACCTCGATATCGGCAAGAAGGAAGGTGCCCGGGTTGTTTTGGGAGGCGAGGCAAACACCGAAGGCGAGCTTGCCAAAGGATATTACGTGAAGCCAACTGTGTTTGCTGATGTGCAGCCCCACTTCCGCATTGTGAAGGAGGAGATTTTCGGTCCTGTTGTGGTGGTGGGCAAATTCTCTACCGATGAAGAGGCCATCGAGTTGGCCAATGCAACTGAGTATGGTTTGGGAGCGTCCATTTTCACCCAGGACATCACCGTTGCCCACAACATGGCTGCCGACATTGAGTCTGGTCAAATTTGGATCAACTCTTCAAACGACTCGGACGTACACATTCCATTCGGCGGTGTCAAAATGTCGGGAGTTGGTCGTGAGTTAGGTGAGTATGGGTTGGAGATGTACACTGAGGCTAAGGCGGTACATGTTAACTTGGGCACGAAGTTGTGAGGATCGTTGCAGGGTGTTTTCGAGAATTCTATATTACTTGTCGCCAATAAGCATGTTAGTATTTGTGCGAGATGCTAATAACCAAGTCTGTTACTTTCTGGGGTTGAGAGAAGCTTGCTGCATGAATTTTTTACGTATAAAATTTGCCACTTGCGTGGAAAACCGCATCGCCGGCCCATCTTGTGCGGACCGATTCAATGTTGAATTGTTGCAAAAGTCACGAGTCAGCAAGGCCCGAAAGATTTGTTCAAGTTTGTTAAGTCTTTGCGTAAAGCCCATGCAATCGGCAAAAACATATGGAAGCCAATCCGAATGTAGAATGCCATTTTGACAACAATTGCGAGCCCGAGACGATCCAATCTTCATTTGAAGTATCCAGCACACCTCGGTTACATAACTACATGCAAGAACAACATCGCTACCCGACTGAAGCTGTTTTGATGACGGAAAGCCAAGCATAGTGGTATAAATGCGCAATAAACAGCCTGGAAGAATTTAGTACACGGCTCGTGGACCTCTGTGTGTTTGTGGATATTTGCTTAATCATTGAGCGTTGCATAAAATGTGGGACTTTCTTTCATCTATCTTCAAAGGCCATGATTTTGAGCTTCACTTCTTGAAGGATTCTATATGGAAATACCTTCGCGGCACGGTCGCACATACTTGTTCACCCAGCGAGATCATTGCGAAGATACCATCTCTTCTGTCTCCTGCAATGGCATGCTTTTGTTTTTATCGCAGCTATGATTCCTCAAGGTCAGAAATTCCTAGATGCTGTAAATGAAGTTTTACTGGCTGGAGCTCGGGAAGCCCAGTGTCGTGTTCCGCCAGTCTTTGGGGACCATATTTTGTTTGAGGGGCTCAGATAGACTTTAATTCCCAAAGAGAATCGCGCTTTTGATTATGCCACAGCAGTCGAAAGCTTGCGTTGTGATACCTGGACTTGCTGGAGATATGGTTTGTTCTGGCCACTGTCGTGTGAAGCCCACCGGCGAAAAAACACTTTTTACTAGCACAGTTCTTGTTCCTTTCCACTCTTCTTCCCATCTAAAAACACCTGGAGATCTTGCTGACAGCTTTTTCTGGGCTTCGGTTTGCATTGTGTATGGTAAAGAGCCTGTTCCATCAAACACCCGGTGGAGGAAATAAAAGAACGGAATTTTGCACCCATTGTTTTCGCTCGTTCCAAAGATAAGTGAGGCAGGCGTAGCTCCATGTACACGAGAAATCTACAGCCCGAAAACCCCGGGCGGGTCAGCCGTATAATTGGAGAGGCACATCTATATATACGGCCATAGACTCTTGGCTACTCGCGTGCTAGATCCACCTTGCAATTGATCGCGAGGCGAAGGAACTCGCGCGATCTGGAGCAAAAAGTGAACTGCAAATTAAACACTAATTTGCCAGCGCCGCGAACTTCGCAAGCCGGCTCCATTCAAATGCAAAGGAGTCTATTAGGCTTTCTTCAGCTCTAGGATAAAAATCTTGTTCTGTACCGTGCAGGTGCTCATTCTTGAACCATGAAAACGCCCTAGCACCACAGCCATTGTAAAAGGGACAATACACAAGCAATGGACCGGCGGGGAAATAAACTTTCTTTAGTACCAAAAACGGGGGAGACTCACAGCAACCACCAACCATATACCCTCGAAAGAACTGAGATACCGAGGAGTATCGGAATCTACTATGTCGGGCCTTCCTTGCATGTGGATTTTGGTGGCAAATTCAAGAGGGTTAAATTTTAAAAGCGATCCGGGGGTGGATTTTCAATTTCTTCGTAAGCGCCGAGACATTCCCGTGTTCTGCAAATGGTAACAGGGCGTGAAAAAATGGAGTAAACAGGAATTGAGAAAAAAGAAAATACTGGGAGACAGAGCAAGAAAATCGAGCTGACCTCGCCAGGAATGTCACCAGAAGACATTCATTGGTGACGACAGCTCCATGGCCCAACAATCATTTGGCCCCTGATGACAAATTAGACAGCTGGGCCGTGAAGCCGCGCACAGACATGGCACGAGGAGGGACACCCGTGCACCAATGATTTTCTAGCAGTGCCAGTGCGCCGGGGCCGGGCCAGGGGCGCGGCGGGGAACATGCCCAGTGACGGGGTCGTTGATAATTAGAGTTTGACTTTATCCAGCACCTGCAATCCTTCAGTTGGCGGTCCTGGTATCTGGACTTCCTGTTGCCTGATTTAAACTGCTGAGTTTTGAAGCAGGGTGTTTTTGCATCTTCAGCATACTTTTTCACTCCGACTGGGGCCTCAAATCAGAGTTTCTTGCAGACCCTGTTTTTTGCATCCAGGCTTCGCTTCGCCAAAGTCGAACGCTCCTGGCCCAGATGGCTTTTCTCGGCCCCGTCATGTGCCGCGCACTCGCCGCAGCCGTCCTCGTCTATCTGCCCCGTCGGCCCCATTGTCCTAGTTAGTGCCGCGCTGACCCTCAGGCCCGCGCCAGCCCTGCGCGCCGGCCCCGTTGGCAGCGCGCATCTCGTGATACTGCTCCACCTGCCCGAAACCACCGTCAAACTGCCGCCGACTAGACCAGCACATTCCACCCAGCACACTCCACTCAGAACATTCCACCCAGCACATACCATCACCTGCTTGGCACCGCCCTCACCACACCCAGCACACCGCCATCCACTGCGCTCACGGATGCACCCAACGCCCGAGTGCCTGGCTCCCCCATCATGAACAACCACTCTGAACACGAGCAAAGGGCGCCGCGCGAGGCGTTCCTCACCTATCTCCACGAATACCTCGTCCAAAACGGGTGCACGCACACAGCACAGGCCTTGGCCAAGGAAGCCCGTGTGCGCCCGCTGGAGCACGCGCCAGACTCGTTCTTCTACGACTGGTGGTGCCTCTTGATGAACATGCACCAGGGCCTGGCCATGCCGCCGCCGAGCCACGGCGCCCCGTGGGCACCCACATCCGCGCCGCCGACTG